AGGAGATGAAAAGCAAGAGCTGAGCAGAAATAGTGGCTGCTCTGGGATTTAAATAGGTCAACTCATTTCAGTAAATAGAAGTTAGGCTGTTGATATATGCCCATCTAGTTAAACCGTCATCGAAGTTCACTTAGCTGCAGTCTAGCAGAGGTTGCAGGCCATCAAAGAGATGCATAAGGCATTGTTAAAATGGACTTGAAGGAAGAGGAAGGAGGAACAAAGAAATAGCTAGGCAAGGAGATCATACAAGTATTACACTTTCAAATTCCTTGTGGCACTGAAATGTGTTGATAACTCTTAGAACATCTACCTTCAGAACATTGAGTCACACGTTCCTGCCCTTCCCCTGTGTTTGTCCCTATAGGATGCTTGCATATAGCAGAAGTCTAAGTGCTCCTTTTTCCCTTTTCCTGGAATATATTTAATTTCCTTTGAACAAGAGCAAACCCAAATCCCAGGGCCTCTGAATAAGGGGGAATTATGGTGAAGGAATACAATGAATGTCTTAATCCTGTGTCACCCTGTCTTTGAGACACTGTGTTACATTAAATTGATTTTGCAAATGAAAGCTAAAAGCTAAGTGAAAGCCCCCAATCTATTTTGCCTAAAGATGATTTTAGTGCTCTTTATGTTCCCCTAAATGACAAACCAATTTGTTACCTGCCTACATAAACATTTGCCTATATTAGTACCAGAAATGTTTTATTTTTATTAGCCCAAACTTTATCTTTTTATGAAGACACAAGGGCCCAATAAAATTAGTGTGCAAATATAATACCCAATTTGCATTTTTCTGTGGTCAGCAGAAAAGCTGAGCAAAATCAATTTGATATTAGGTCAGCATATACATCAATAAAGCATACGCACACACAGGACCATTGTAATGGTCCCTGTAATTTCTACACTGCCAGAGTAAAGAGATTAAATAATATTAAATGCCCCAAAATAGCTTTGCTTTTAAGAGGGATGTAAAAAGAAAAAGAAAAGAGACTTTGGCATAAAATAGGCAATAAAGGATAATAGTGCACAATCTCCAACTTTAAAATATTGTGACAATGATCTCAGAAGCAGGCTTCCTGCTAAAAGGCCCCAGTTCAGCAAAGCTCTTATGCCAACACTTATGTTTAAGCCCATTTTTAAACACAATAGAGGTCTGTCGAACTAAATCACATATTTAAGCACCTGACAGAGTCAGGGCCAGAGCCTGAATGAAAATTTGGAACTTGAGAGGGTTGGATCCAATTTTGAGTGCGATGTGTAGGACCGCTGCTTGGTAGAGTCCAGGTACAAGTGAGGCTTTGCTAAACAAAATCCCTCTGTGCTCCAGGTGGGACTATGTAAGCATGCTTGGAAGGTGAGGAGAGTCAGTGAGCAGCAAAGGCACTGTGTGGAGGTGCTTCCCCCTGCACAGAGCTGACCTCCCATGGATGCTGTATGGGAGCCAAGGTCCTGCTTCCACCTCCACCAGGAAAATGTGACTAGGGCGAGATGTCTGATTTGAAGAACCTGTAGTACAGTCTTTGCTCTGCAGTACAAATGGCACCACTTTTACCTTCTGTACTACTTGGTTTCTTTGCACTGCTCACACAAGGCTTAAAGATGTTGATGGGACGTGGGCTGCAAACCACTGGCAAGAAAAACTTGTGTTTATTTGACCCAACCCGGTCTAGTGGTGCTTGATAGAGACAAGAAACTGTGTTCTTTTGTAGTGTGTGTTGCTGAGATATGTACTCCTACCTGAAATGACATTTGTGACCAGAAGTAACAAAAACAAATGGAATTAGGTGCTAATCTGGTCTCTCAGGAAAAGCCAGAGTACAGTAAATGCTGCTTGGATTGGATTTGCTAAAGCAGTTTAATGTAGCAGAGACTAGGCAGCCAGGACAGCAACGACATCAGTGTTCGCTTTCAACGCAGATGTTACAGTTCTGTTGGACAGACAAGCCGAGACAACACAGTGAAGCGTAATGCAATATAGTTCTTTTTTATTTCCTCTGTGGAGTCTTCAACTTGCAGGGTTTTGAATACAAAATGCTGGCAACAGCCCACCTCATGCTGCAAAGTCCCTGGGAAAGGAAGACTGGAATTTGTTTTGCCAGTGGATAGATGTATTTCATGAAAATGTGTGGGCGTTAAAATCAAATGAATGCACGTTTTTTAGGATGATGGCTTCCATTTCTTCTGATTAGAGCCTTCATGTCTAGTATGAATGGGGTAAAATGTGGGAGAGGAGAAAGGCAAACCATTTCTAAAGCCATTATTAGTACCTTGCCCCAGCTTTGCAGCACTCTGTGAAGGAGCGGAGTTCGTTTCCACGTTCTCCTGCATGGGCACCAGTTAAAGGCTTTCTGAGGTAGACTGCTGGGATGAGACTTACTCTTCCTTTGTACTTCACCAGCCTTAGCAGTACTGATTTGGGAAATTGCGCCAATACCATACCATGGCTTTAGGACCAGAAACCTGCTATCTCTCTGCAGTCTCTTTCTGAACTGGCATGGTAGCAGGAAAGATCTCCAATATTGAACAAACTCTATTTCAGTCCTGTTACAGAACTTCATTTTGGTAGTGCAAACGTGATTTCATAAATTCATTATTTCTGCAAGAAAATTCTAGTTACTGAAGCTACTCCATACAAATAGTTGTTTCCATGTTATTATAGAAGCATAAAAATGAAATGAAAAAGGTTAATTGAATTTTCTGCCTTTCCATGGAGGTTTAGATTGTGATTTGTCTCCTTTTGGTAGAAAACATTTTCTGAGGGACTCTGTTTTAGTTAGACTTGTGTAATCTGTAACCAAGAGTAGAAGTTGTCATTTACCAGGTGAGAGCTGAGGGAGTAGCCAATGAGACTGCTTCAAGTGACCGATTGTATGTGCTATCGTGTTGGAGAAGGAACGTGGGTTGTGGGCCAAATAATGCAAGTTGTATTCAGAGAGCTGAGATTTGAGTTGTTTGTTAGCAATTAAGTGGGTTTCTTTCCAGTATGATATTTGTCTGGTGTTTATCACCATTGTGATAAACAGAATGTGATTTCTGTCACAAAATTTGTGACATTTTTATCACAATGTACTAAACATTGTGATAAAAGCAGAATAGATGTTGAGCTGAGTTTAATAAAGTTTAAAAGAAAATGGTGGAGAGGGTCAAAGCTGTCATAACCAAATGCAAAAATCTCATCCTCTAAAAAGTTTCATAGTTGAGAAGCTGCTGCAGCTCCAAACGGGCCACTAGTTTGCTGACCACTTTGCTGAGTAGTCATGTTGCTGCACATTGCTTTTGTGATGAGTCTGTGCCCCTTTAATGATTTTTTTTCTGAGGAGAAAACTCCTCCTCTTGCAGGTGTCATCCCAGACTTCCTCTTTTGCTCATTAAATTTGGTTTGCTGCTACATCTCCTTCCTCCCACGCTAATCAATGTTAATGCAAATGATGTGGGGTGGTCATCAGCTGATGTTGTTGTATTCCTTTTTGCTGCCTCCCACTTTTCCTCAAGACAGAAGTGACCCCACCAGCTGCTATGTTTGTCAAAGACATTCTTATATTTCTTTGCCTCTGGGGCTCAGAAACACCAGAGTGGTGAAACGAGAATGAAAGAATGGTTGAGTTGCAAGGTGAGCACCTGTAGGGCATTTAGAAGGGCTAAGGAAATAAATAAATAAAAACCTTGCTGAGATCTGTTGTCCAGTTGTCTCCTGAGAACAACCAAAAATGTACTGATTATTTCTGTGTTTTTTTGTTAGGTGCAATTTACTACTGGGTAAGCTGAGCATTCGTAAGACTCAGGAAATTAAAAACAAACAACCCTCAGGTGTTGGTGTCAGGCTCCAAATATCTTTCTTGTTTAAGAATGTATGTAATGCATAAGCCTAATTTAGAAAACAAAAAACAAAACAAAACAAAAAAGTTTGGATTTAGTTTTCAGTTGCCTTTCAGTGAAAAAACTTTATTTCAGAGTAAAGATTTAAATTGGATCCTGCTGTGTCTAGTATTACTCCTGCTGTGTGTTCAGGTCTAGATAAGATATCTAACTGAAGTCCTGACCTCTTATGGTCTTTTAAGTTCCCAACACTTCTTTGAAGGGGTATAATTTTTATTTCCTGTTTGTTAACGCTGTCAGTGCACAAATAGAGAAAACATCCCGCTTCACCCATGAAGCATCATGGTTTCAATAGTGCAGGATTAACCCATGGAAAGTTGTGTTAGGATCTGTCTTCCTTCTGCTGAACTGTAATTTGAAGGGGACCCAGCTTAATTTTCCAGGTCCATGTTCTCTCTTCCTCACAGAAGTTTGCTTAGTGCACCATTAGCCACCTTTTACAGTCCACTTTAGAGGTTCTTGCTATTTCATGTAGCAGGGCAAGTGATTTCCTTAACATCTTAACATGATTCGTATACTTACTGTTTCTCCACAGTTTAATTCTTTTTTCTTTTTTTAATTTTTTGTAATGTCTCTTTCAATCAGAGCAGATACAGACCCAAGTAGTTAAGAAACAAAAGAACCCACAAGCCCCCCCAGAAAACCAAAACCCGTGCTAATAAGTATCATTTGTTAGCACTTACTGTTGTTTGGCACTGCTAAGGTTTGTATCAAGTGTAATGCAGGGTGCAATTGGCTTTACGATGTGAATGGACCCCCACTGTTCTTCTTGGTGCCCCAGGGGGACATTTATCACAAGTGAGAGAGCAATTACAGTGCAGTTAAACTCACTGTAGTAAATCTTGTTTTTTAAAAAGAGAGCTAACTTTGTTGTCGCAGGTTTGGCTGCGTGTCATTAGCTTTGCAGCCCTTGTGCAGTCTGCTGTTATGGCCTGGTGCGGAGACCCAGTGACGCTGCCTACTTTAATTATAGATTGCGCTTATTTATAATGTATGACCAATTTTAATAAAAGGATATGCTTTAATATTAATGTCCCTGTGTGTCCTACATATGGGACCCGGTTTAAGGATCTTTGTCTCTCTTTTTTTTCCCCTCTGTCACCTGCCACCCCCCTCTGCTGCAGCGAACCTGCGTCCAGGTGCAGAACAGAAAGTGGTGTTCATCACTGCGCGTGTCCACCCTGGGGAAACACCATCTTCCTTCGTGTGCCAAGGTGAGTGCCTGCACTGTCACAGTTCTGTGACAAAAATGAAAGATCAGATCTGGTTTCCTATGGATGCCCTTGCTGGATATGCCTAATTTTGTTGGTCTGACAGAAGGCTGAGTTCATGTGACGTGTTTTTTTTTTTTTTTTTTTCCCCCGTGGTGAAGACACTAGAAGACTCTCACCTCTACCCAGCTGTATGTCTTTTTGAAGTCAGTGGGAATACATTATCGCTGAGACTTGTGAATGTTTCCAAAATTTGATCAGAACTGGACAGTGGGCGCTGAGGTTATTCAGGAAGACTTGACAGCCTGACATGCGCATATGCAATGTGATCCCATACAGCTCCTTTCTGTAGGAAAACCGGTGGGAAAGCTCTGAGAGCAGTTCTCCATTATTTTTTCTTGCTTTCTACTATTTTCAATATTTTTTTCCACTGCAAAGCAATGGCCCTAGTTCTCCGGTGTAATTCTGAGAGGCCTCTATTTGTCTGAAGCTGCTGCTCAGAGGAGCGCAGCACCCAGTGGCCGACAGCTGTTCTCTGCACAAAGCATTCCTGCTAAAAATAGAAAGCAAATTACCCAGCTTGTATTTATAACGAGTTATAAATCTCAGGCTTGTGGGTACAAATAAATAAATAATCCTTGCATGTGTTCATATAACTTCATTGTATAGGTCTGAAATATTGTACTTATGGTATGTGATTTTTCTGTGGTGATAAATTGTTGATGGTGTAAATCAGCATAACTTCCCCGAAACCAAGGGAATGTGCTAATTTACTGCATCAGCTCGGGTATGGCCCTGCCTAGCCAATGAGTTGCATCAATCAAGCATATGCAGAGCTTATTATATTGGCTGCTCGTAATGCTGCAGATTGGTTTGCAACTGGCCCTCTTGGTACCTAAAGACCTCAGTGTGGAAGGTCTGGCACAGTTTCATGGTCTTCTGTGCACTTCTCAGCCTGGCGAAGCCCCATGTCTGGCGTCTCTCTAAGGCAAAAGGTCAACAGCTGTCACTTCTTCTGTCATAGCCCGATGGGCTAAGAGGATACTGGGCCTCTTCTCATCAGCTTGTGTGCTAGCAAAGGTAGTAAAATCTTTCCTTTAAGACAACAGGGCTTCAGGCTGAGAGCAGGGAAACTCAGCAAGTGCTTCATCTCCTGTGGTGGCATAGTCAATGCAGGGCATTTTAGTATACATGGTGTTTGTTAATGAATATGGATTTTTAATTGGGTGCTTTGATTCTGTTTGTGGCTGTTGGCATAGCCCTGCAAAATGAGGGCTGAGGCATGCTGCTGAGGTGGTATTTGTAAATGAAGCTATTTTATTTTTATAATGGAGAGTTTATTCAAAAGGGGAATAAAAAAGGAATGTGAAAAAGTGGGTGGCATGTTTAGCCTGACGAAACAACTGGATAGAAGTCATGCTCTGATTCTCTCAAACTGTTTTGTAGGAAAAGAAAAAAAAAATTAAAACAAGAAGGGGGGGGGAAGCAAGAAAAAAATAGGGGTCAGTCTTGGAGAAGCACATCAGAAACTTGCTGTGACTGCAGTTATAATGCACGCTTGACTCACTTGGAAATGCACGGATCTGAAGGCACTGAACTCTGCTGTGCATCGAGCCATTCTGCCCAGTGCAGATGAAGCTGCCTTGTGTGTATAATTAGTGTCAAGACAAGTAGAAATGGCAAACATTTCAAGGCTGATGCTGTGTTGTTTCTAGTATTGCCAGATGTGAAAGTGGGTGCTTGCTCCATCTTTGGAAACTTTTGCGTGGGAGGGTCAAAAGAAGGGATGAAAAGGATCCCTCGGGCGGTCAAGTGAAGGCATAATAAAGAATTTTATTTCTGGAGTCCTGGGAGGCATTTTGGCAGAGTTAGATGCTGCAGATTTAATATCCAAATGCAAGCCCAGTGCATACGGAATGTGTCAGGATTTTTTTCCTCAGTAGAGAGATTTGTTCTTGAATACTCGATTATACTCATCACCTCGTGTGTTAAGATATGGAAGTTAATCCCAAAGATTCCCCAGGTGCAAGCAGGATCTCATGGAGGAGCAGAATTGTGACTGCCCAAGCCTGGAGAATCTGCCAATAGAGGAACCAGAGATAAGTTACAAGCACTTTTTTTTTTTTTTTTAAATGTTTCATTCATTTCAGGGTCTGTCTTCCTGTTTAAGGCACTAAGTGCATAATTAACTCCTTACCTGTCTTCCGGCTAGCAGAGTCTCTTCCTACTCTCTTTGGCCTTCTCTCTGCTGAGGATATACAGCTACGTGTAGCGTCAACACTGACCTCCTGGGGCTTCCTCTTGTCTTCCACTTTTTGGTTAGGCAAGACATCCTGAGAAGGAAGTTATCTAGCCTTGATATACCAATATATACTTGGTCCTGACTATTGATCCTTTGTCTTCCACATAGTCAAAGATGAGACCTAAAACAAGGATCTTTGTGTAACTGTGGGAGGCCATAAATGCTCCTCTCCATTCAGAGCTGTATTGTTTCTGTTATCAGTTTTCATTTTCCATTTTGAAGAATCTACTGAAAACTGGGCTTTGGATACAAATACCCCTTATCCTTGCAGATGTTATGAGTGTTGTAAACTTGGTTACTCACCTTATTCTCCTTACAGCTGTGGAGTGCTAGCAGCAGTAGCCAGACCTCCCTAGAATCATTAAACACCTCGTCCAGCAGTTAAAAACAAGTGCCATAATATTTCACATGTGGTGCAGCTGCTGAGCTGTAGCTCAGTTCCTTAAAAGGCAGATAAAACCCCAAAGGGCTTCTTCACAGACAGATGGATTAAGAAACTTTTGTTTCTGTTCTGGTGTTTCAAGAGTTATTACAATGCTTAAGGTTAGCCTTTTCAGGAAGTTTTCCTGATAGTTCTAAACTGCTTGTTGGGAAGTTTGGGGTCAGAGATGGAGAGTTAGTCACCAGACAGTATATCACATGAGTACCCTTTACATACAAAGGTGTAGAACAGTGCTCTCCTCCTCAGTCTGTGATGGTGATCATGAGCATTGATGCTTGTCATGTTTGGGGCTGAGGAAGTAGGAGTAGGTTGAGGATGAAGAGGCCTCTTGTTTTCAGTTTACTCTTACGGACCATTTTCTATCAGATCAGTCACTGCTGCTCCTGCAGGGCTTTTATCGTGCAACAAAGAAACATGATAATTCACCTTACAACTTGAATTCATCTCTCTTGGGCTGTTCTGATTTCTGAGAGGGCCTTCTGAAGTTTGGATAGGACCAAATATCAAATAATGCCTATATACTTATGCAGCGTGCATGTGTGTAAAATGCAAAATCCGTGAACAAGTCCCTACCATTCAAAAAAAAACGGTGTTAAACCAGCTTGGATTTCATTCAAGATATGGCAATAGGAGCATTTTTTCTAGTGTTCTTTTAGTCTTGTTGCTTTGTTGGAGATGGCAAATGCACGTGGAGTGTTGCAGGAGACATGGTAGCTAGCAAGTTTAAATTTTCCTAGATGTTTTTGTTTTTGCCAGCATTCAGCAATTGCAAATTTCAGCATGTCTAGATGTATGTAGGCATGTACTTTCCTCATAAACTTAGGATCTTCTGTTAAAAGGATGCTGTTTTTCATCTCTGTAATATGTTTGCTAATGTGGCATCCACTATGCCATTTAAATCCAAAAATTAAAATTTCTTCCCCAGGCATTTTACTTCAAAGTTTCCTAGACTGGGAGCCTGGGGTTGAAGACCTAGTGCAGGAAGGAAAGGAGAGGGATTTGCAGATGCTGAGCATCTTGTACTAAATGCAATTTGACCTGATGCTGACCTTGAAGCTTATGGGCTGAATAGGGAACAGCCGTTAAAAAGAAAATGTAAGGAAAACAGACACCTGGGACTCTTATCCATAAGAAACGGAGCAAAAATGACTTTTCAATCAATCTCTTTTCATTACAGCTGTTTAAATGAATGCTCCCTCTTGCTTCACCTTAAATCAAATGATATGAAATGAAAAACCAGACTATACCAGTCAACGTCTTTTTAGGTTTTCTGTGAGCATTCTCGATCTGCGGTTTTAACCCCCACCCTCTTGCCACTAGAGGGCAGGGAAAAAAAAAAAAAAAAGAAAACTTTTGTACAATTTTTGATTTAAAGTTTGAAAAATGGGGTAGAAGGGAACAAACTGCCTGAAAACAAGTTGTCTACCAGCTATCTCTGCTATTGTATAATAATTCATCAGGCTAATAGGTTATTGAACTCGCTCTCTACATGACTAAGGTTCTCTTCTCCATCTCTGTGTGCTGTGAAGGATCTTATTCTAGGACAGACTCCAAGATATCCTCTTAGAAGTGGTGGCAGTTGTCTGGTTCACTTCATGGAGGCAATGCCTTCAGATTCTTTGAATTTGTTCCTGGAGAATCCCTGAAGAGCAAAGTTGCTGCAACAAGACTGGAATTTGTTTTCTTTTTGCTTGTAGGAAAGGCAGCTGTATATGCAAAAAGTCATTTCTGAACTTGTTGCTTCTGGAATTTCTGCCAATCTTTGTCTTTTATTATGAGGAAATAGGAGGAATAAGCTGTGTCTGGGTTAAAAGCTTTTTTTCTACCTCCTTCACTAAGCATAAATCTTTGGGCATTAGGGCATAAGTGATAGTTGAAAGACAGGACAAGGCATGTTTTCAATGCAAGAGTAAATGCAGCTAATGAAGCCTTTATACGTGAAAAGAACCTTTCTGAAGTAACACAGGTGATGATCTCGCTTAGCTATTTCACAGGGATAAATTTCACCTAGAGAAATTAAACTGAGTCCTGTAGGCATTTGGTATAGGGTGCTTTGGAAGCAGCAGGCAGCTGTGCCGGCTAAAAGCACTGAGTCCAGAAAGTGCCTGTAGTGATAATGATGGGGGTCTCAGAAGCTTGAAGGCATCTGTTGGACTTCATATCAGACTGAATTTGTCTAAATAAATGCAAGATTTGCATCAGTTGTAACCTCATTCTAGATGCATTATTTGTGATACTCTTCCTTCTAGCAAGCCAAAT